TGTGCGGGGGACCCCCTTGAGCAGCCCCGCGCCCCCCAGAAAGGGGGGCCCTTCCCGTGCCACGGGCCGTTTTGCGCCCGCGTGGCCGGTCCTTCTCGAACCCAGCACTTTGGTGAGCGGGATGGCAGCCCCCCTCCCTCGTTTATCCAAATTATAATGAACTGGTTGGGGTTTGGGGTACATACATACACACAGGTTGAAAAAACACTTTGCAACCCACTTCCCTAGCTTGAAATGCCAGAAACTCTCAGTCTGTTCTGAAAAGTGCAATTTTTAACCAGGCAGATTAAGGATTAGCAATGTACTTAGTGATTTTTTTTTCCCCCCCCCCCCCCCAAAGAATGTTTTCAACAACCATATTTGGAGCAACCACATTCCAGAGCACTCGCAGCTGGGAATCTCTGTACAGCCCTGGCGCAACGGCACTGTGTGTGTGTGTGTGTGCGCGCGTGTGTGTCTCTGTGTGTATTTTATGTATATGAGTTTGCATCAGGTTTGGTTTAACATGCATGCACTTAAAAACATTTGATTTCATTGCTCTGTGAATTTGGGAAACTGACTCTCTTTTCCCGTTCTCTCCTTTCCTTTCCATTCTTTTTTTAATAATTTGAAGGCAAACTGTTCAAAAAGGCATGGGAGAGAAGGAATCTGACCCCACACCCCAAAACCCAGTGGAGATTCAATTTTGACTTACCTGACATTCTGCAGGAACAGAAAATGGAGAAATTTGTTTTCCACCCCCAACTGTGTCGTGTGGACCAAATCAAGAACACTCAGCTGGGCTTCCTAATGCAAAAGGAAAACATGCAAGAAAACAGGATTTTTTGGATTAAAAAAGAATTCTAAATCCTTGGTGCAGATCTTGACTGGGAGACAAACAATATTAATCTTTTATACCTACGGATATAAGTTTGAATTTTTCTCCCCACAAGCCAAGTATTTAAAACCTCTAGAATCCATTGATTTGACAATCAAGGATTGCGCGATAGTTTCAATTTGAATATTCAAAGGCTTCAGAAAATGGACTCTCTTGGAGGAAAACCCTGCATATCCCCATCTAGGAGAGGGTCTGGGGGAACAAGATCCGCTGGCCTTGTCTTCCTAGGGCCCCCCTTTGGGGGACCTTTTCAGCTTTTTAGCTTCCTTGCCCCAAACAAGGCAGGCGCCCCCAAAGAGAGCCCACATTTTTGCAGATGACAAATTCTGGGTCATCCCTGGGGCTTCCATTCCACCCGCCACCTGATGACATCTCTCTGCAACAGTTTGGGGAGATCTGGGGATTGGGGTACATTTGGGGGGGCTGCCTGATATTTTTGTGGACAAGGATGGCCTGCAAGGGGGGCGTGACATGGTCAAGAAGATAGCCATTGAGGCCTGTAAGCAGTGGTGGTTGGTGAATGGGGAACATCATTCCATGAACCTTGGGAACTTCTGATGTGTCCCCCCTTTCTGCCCCACTCCCCCCATTCTTCTCCTTGATGTAGGTGTGTTTTTAACTTCTCCTTTGCTATAGCTGTTCCGATTTGCATTGTGGGAGCTCAGCGTCTTTGGAAAGCTGGATTTCCCCCCACTTCTATATCCTTACAGTCATGTGGAAGGTAGGCTGAGGTGTATTGTAACTTCAGAGGAAATTTCCAAATTTTGATTCTGGATTCTTTCACACCTTTTCCTCCCATGCCTCCCTAGAAGGAACTTGGGAGAGCTAGGTCAACGAAAATGTAGGCTAAGTTGTTAATGATCTACTATGAATATAATTTGGCTATTGTTCCAGTTCATTTTTTGTTTTTTTGAAATACTTCAACAAATATTCTTGATTTGAGATAAAGAGACGTGTATTGCTGACTTGACAATGCAATTCCTTTTCTGCTTTCAGTCTTTCAGAGCATCTCTTGCACATTTAAATGCTCTGTCTTCCTTCCACTTTTTTTTTTAAACTGCATAATCTGAAAGGTATCCCAGAAGGGGTTATGTGACACTCTAGAAATCTGAGAGAGTACCCAGCAGGGTTTTACAAAAGGAGAGGGTGATTTGAGGGCTCAGCCACCGCTTAAAATTCAGAGACTGTCTGTACTGACATTGGAAACTCTCACGACGTTCATGAGGAAGAGAGGCGCTAGACCAGGACCCCAGGGAGATATGAATTGCTGGGGGAGTTTGCCCAAGGATCTGCCCCCCTGAACTGGATCTTTCAAATAATGGCCTGTCTCATAACATGTATTCTTGGCCTGTAATACTTGAATACGAAAGTTTAAGGGAGGCCTGCAAGCTTTGGCCCTGAGTTCTGGTAGTGATACCTGAAAGATGCACTCTGCATATCCTCAGGGACCTTAACATAAACCTCCTGCTGCTGAGTCCTGTCATGCCTACAGGTTGGGGGATTATTGTATTGGTTGCGTGGGTGGAAGAAGCAAGCATAGCTTAATATATTACTTTTAAAAATGAAACTGAATTCTCCAAATGGGGTCTGTGCTGGTCTTCCCTTTTCAAAATAAGTAGCCATGACTTGAAATGGGGACATATATCTTGCTTTTTCAAACCGTATATTTTGCGCCCTTGAGTCTCAAAATTCATGAATGTATCTAATAGAAAGATCTTCTGTTCAAACTGCAAAAATAATGCCCCCTGCTCTGGATTGATGAACAATGTCCAGATAAGAAAAAATCCTTTTTTTGGATGGCAGAGGGAGATGGAAAACATTATTCCAAACAGAAGAGTTCAATGTTTATTTAAAGAGGAAGCAGGGAAGATAAAGGTTTGGAATTAAATGCTATTTCATATATGGGGAAAGTTGACCTAACCAGTTTGGGGCTTCAGCGGGAAAATGCTACCTTGTTTTGATCTCCAGTTTCAGATGAAATCCTGGGAAATTATGCAGAAGTTGGAAGATCCCCTCTACTTGGATCTCTTGGGCTACAGTTCCCATCACCCCAAACACAATGCTAGCTGGGGATAATGGGAATTGTGATCTAACAGATCTAGAGGATGCTGGGTGAGAAGAGACTGAACAACAACATTTATTGGTTGCTCTTGTGATAGAATATAGAATCTGAAAGGTGCCCACTAAACTCCAGAGTCATTCTCAGGAAGGTAGAAATGGTTGGATGTGAACTGGCTGTTTCCAAAACTCAACCAGGGAACCCTAATTTCTGGAATATCAAAATCTGCCAAATTTGGAAATAATCCTCTCTCAATTTCAGGAAAAAACAGCATGAATATGCATAGGACTGGAGTTCAAGATAATAAACATTGGCCTTTGAATCTGACCTGCATCCTTCTCTCTCTCTCTCTCTTTTTCCTCTCTCCTCTTTGCCATCCCTCTTAGCTCTTTTAAAGGAAACTGGTTAAAAGTTGACTTAGCAACATATCTGAAGGTGACGGAGGACTGATTGAATAGCTGGTTTCACAGATCGCATTAGACGATTTGCTTCTTTCGTAAGCTACAGTTGGGTGACACTGAAGGAACCCTCAGCCTCCCTTTTGTGGGTGGGTTAAAACTGGGATATTTTATGGGTATTTTGAGTGGGGTTGGGTAGTTTTAAAGCACAAAATGGGTGCCTTGAGCCTTGCAGTGATATAAGGAGGTGGTTCCATCCCTTACGTTTCCTGAACTTGTTCTCAGAATGGGCCCTTGGTTGGGGCATCTTTTGGGGTATAGCCTTTGACATGCGTAGCAAAGCGCAGTGTGGCTTTTGAATTGCACAACTCTGGCCTAGCTCATTACAAACAATGAATTTAAGCACAATGGACTTCGGTCTGAGAGGAACTGCATTGTTGGGCATAGATTTAATATTGAGGGGCCCTCTTTCTAATCAGCAGTGCGTCTGTGACTGAGTGAGGATTCAAAACCAAAATCTCTCATCAGTAAGTAATGGCAATTAAGGGTCGAAGCTGTGCACTTTCAGAACTGAAAGAAGGGGTTGTTGGAAGACTGTCCTATCCTTTGACCAGGAGCCTCCACTACTAAGGCTTCAATGCAGGTATGTGGAACCACGTCGTGGGACTTAACCCAGGCAGTCCTTTAAAAGGGGCATGAGTGTGTCCCAAGCCAAGCCAGGATGTGCGATTACTGGGTAACCATCTGCTCAAGAATTGCTTGGCAACATTCCTACTCTAAAGGCAACATTGCTACAGATGTATCTAAAGCAGTGTTTTTCCAACAGGGCCACTTTAAGATGTGTGGACTTCAACTCCCA